TCTGCCCCAAATCCTGCATCTCCTGCCCACCGATCCCACAGAGCCTTTCCTTTACTCACCAGTGGTCCCAGGGGCATCTGGCTCACTTCGTGAAGGCAGAGCTGATGTTTCCTAAGAACAAAACATATGGCGTTGTAGGAGTGGTTACAAGGAAGTCAAAGCATTTTAACAAAATCAGCAAATGCCCCCACCTCCCCAAAAAAGGACTTTTATGAGCCAAGGAAGCATGCAGCCACACTCAGCCAGCAGCAGGGCATGGCTGCAATGGGCAGCCCTGCAACATCCACAGGCAGAGGGGGCTGCGGACGGGCCCCAAGTCCCCACTGAATGAACGGCACCTACTAATAGAAATACACTTACACCCAAACCCAAACCCACCTGGTTCCACAGTGCCGATGGGATGGTATATACAGTTAGGAGAGGACAGGCATATAAGGAAAAGTGACCAGTCCACGGGGCCCAGATCACGAGAGCAAAGCAAATAGCTACTGTCATATATCTCTGAGTAAAATTTTGGCTCCTTAATCTTAGGGAAGCAAGCTGGGAGAAAGCTGCAGCCAGACCTTACCAACAGAGCATAAAGATTAGCTTCCTTCCAGTTTATTTGACCTTCACGGGCAGTGTGTCGCCTCCAATACTCCAGCCTCTGCTTTTTGCTATACACTCAGGAAGGTGATCCGGTGCTGTCATGGGTCACAGAGAGCCAAAACAGCTCAGGACCCAGAAACCACCAGCTCGAGCCTGGCAGCTGGGCAAGGCTGTTTGCCAAACCCGCCTGGTGAAGGCTCAGCATAAGCATGGCCCATGCCCAGGCGGCCACGCTCCACGTCTGGGCAGTGGCCATGCACCGCTGCCCCACGGAAGAGACCATGCAAGGGAGCTTCAGGGCTAAAGCACTGGCCTGGCGTAGCTCCTCCCTAACCTTCACACAGTGGTTGGTATAAGCTACACATTATATGGCTCAGGAAATCAGAAGGCCAAACAGCCCAAGCTCCTGCTTGGCACTAGGGCCGGGCTGCCCAAAATGGTTTTCCCTCTGAGAAACAACTTGCAAAGAGCCAGAGAGGGAGGCCAGGTCCTACAATCCTCCCACTGCAGCACAGGCAACTGCTTTGCCGTCAGGAAGGCAGGGGTTCCTGCTAAGCCACAGAGGACAGGAAGAACGTGATGAGCAAGACACCCTCGACAGGCTCCACTCGGACGTTTGCCAAGTTTTGTTGTGTCCGGATAAGTTTCATTCCAGGGGACTGCTAGCTTCAGCACAGTTAGAAAACAGCATAGAAGGGCACGCACGTCTTCAGAGGTCCACCCAGGCTTGCAAAAGACAGTTGGAAGCTTGTGATGGATCCCTGCCCTGAAAATTTCATGCCTGCATACGAAGCATCCCAATATCCAAAGACAAAATTCCAACGGGTATGGGTGGAGGGCAAAAGGGAGAGCACCAGCTTGGGATTCCTCAGCACTGAAACCCTTGCTGTAACATAAGCAATGGAAAAGTGGATCACAGCAGACAGCAATTGCAACCATCAGCAAACATGTTTCAAGCCTACCTGGTTAATGGAAACTGAAATCCTATTTTACCTGATTTCCAATTTTCTCATCTAGAGGTAAGGAGTCCATCAGCTGAAACAGCAAGTTCTCACAGTCATTATAGTAGCACTTATCTCTTTGAGGACAACATACTAGTTTTTAACATCACATTCAAGCAATCCCTAGCTGTCAAAGTGGAACCGGGGGACTGATGCCTCTGGGTAGCGATATCCAGAGACAACTACTTCTCCAATCTTTCGACAAAATGGAAAAGAAAGAATGACCAGAACCAAAGAAACCAGGCAGCCCTTCCCTACTCTAATAGTAAATGTAAAACTTAACTCTCAAGGGAAGCTTTTTCCTCTTTTAAGATCTTTTTTGGTGTCTTTTTTGACTCTTCCCATTCCCAAGCCCTCTCCCCCGACTGTAACCCAGGAAAACTATGAGAGGGAGAGACATGGGGCCCCATACAAAAACCCCTGTTGAAGCTGGGCTGTTAACATGGTGGTCCATGAACAGACCAAAGCCCCCAAGCTGATGGGAGCCACTCCATCACCCCACTGGCTCTGAGCTACTTTTCTTCCAAATCCTTGGGAGAGGAATAGAGATGTAAAAGAAAAGGAAATAGCTTCGGTAGGAGAGAGGACTCACAGGGAGATGCACAAAGCCTTTAGTGTAACTTAAATAAGGAGGAAAAACCTCTCCGAGCCCTGAGTGGGGTGGTGGAGATGGCTGCGCAAGGCTATTTCACAAGTGTGGAGTAGGAAAGGGCAGCACCGACCCTCAAAGCACACATTCCCCTCGCCCCCGGTCAGGGCACACAGCAGTCACAGCTCCATCATATTTGAGCACAGGGCACTTCCCAGTGCCCTGCTCAGAAACAGAATGAAGAAACCTGATGAAAGGGGAAAAAGAAAAAAAAAAAAAGAAAGAGCCATGCAAATGATGCAAAAGTAGAAGACTTCACGTTTCAGCAAGAGGCTTCCAGGGGTGACCCATCCGAGCTGCCACCAAGGCAGCAGGTGGGTGTGCTATGGCACCTTGTAACACATCCTTGTGACATGGATGGTGTGGGGATGAGAAAACTGTATGCGTGGGCAAAGGCGACACTAAACCCCGGCTGCTCAGAGGAGCAACAAAAGTCTCCTGCTCATTTCCAAGAAGGCGCACAGGCAAGAAAAGAAGCTGTTTGGGAATTCAGTGTCATTTTCAGTTTGGCCTTTATTTTCATTGACTTCAACAACAAAGTGTTCCAAAACACACACAGGTCTTGGTGCAGTCAACACTGTCATTGCTACAAGCATTGGCAGATTTTCAGCTCAATTAACCCATACGCTTTGATGTATCAAAACAAAACAAAACAAAAAAAATCACAGATCTACAGGGGAGGGTAAAAGCTACAGCAGTTCAAACTCACTTGAAGATTCCAGTTATACAGAAGTGGGCTCCATAGTGGTATACAGTAGAAAGAAGGTTTTCACAGCATATATTTTAATCATTAGTGATGCAGCAGAAAAGCTCCATCTCACTGCTGAGTTGAAAAGCAGATACTGAAATTCTTGCACCCAGACTCTGGGCACAGCATTAATTGCATTAACCTTTAGAGTCAGAAGCTTCCTAGTTCCTAAAATGACGGTATTTTTGCATCAATATTTGTACAATACTGAAGCAGCTCAGAAGGATTACACAATGGAGATGCAAAACCTTGGAGGCGAGAAAGGCACAAACTAATTCACCTCCAGGAATTTGCAAAGTACCTGCACTAACACTTTCCCCGCACTAACACTGCCCCGCTGAATTAATTCTTGCATCGAGTCAAGAGCAGGATGACTCGCTTCTTTTGTAGCATATAGAAAAAAAAAAATAAAGACATAGTAAGTTTTCACACTGAGCATGTTAAATACTTTGAAATCTAGGACGCTGCTCTTTGAAGTGTTACAAAATAAAATGATAAAACAGGCTCTCAGTACCTGCCCCCTCCCCCCTCAACTGCAAAGTAACACAGGAATCTCAGTATGAAAAATACAAATATATTTGTCCAGTGATGAGTCATTTGTTATAAGGTATACTGTAAGCATTCTGCATAAAAATAATAATTAAAAAAAAAAACAAACAGAAAAACAAACAACATTTTATTGTGGTTCTGTCAGACCCGGTAGCCCAAGAAGAAATAAAAATTCGGATGTTATGTCGTAGGAAACAAAAATTACACATACAAAAAAATATTTATATACACACACTTTACAGGGTAACCATCTTGCATTACCATTTAGAACTATCCAAAATAGGCTTGCACAGTTACCGAAAGGCAGTCTTTGAATGCAACATAGACCTGGCACAACAGGCAGATGGAGGAGGATGCTAACAGTATCGGACTTAAATGAAATACGTGGCACACAGCAGGGCCCAGAAAACAGCCACTGCATTGAAACGAGATTATTTTGGTTGTAGCCAGGTAGGATGACATGTCGTTTAAGCTGCTTTTTTCATCTTTCCCCAGCCAAAAATTGTCAGGCTTACTGTTAAAAAGAGCAAGCCAACTTGAAAGCAGCTGTGCTGAGCTCCTCAGTTTAGGTTTGTTTTGTATACGTTAGAGTCTCACTACCTTGGCCAATATAAATGTAAAAACACACGCACTGTTCAGTTACTTGTCCACAGGATCACTGGCAGTCAGAGGAAATGCCTCAGAGCACAGCTGCTGTAGAACCAATAAAGAAAAAACAGAGAAAAATCAATTCCTCATGTAAACATGACTTTTTGCAGTAGCAACACTCATATCACCAGGAACCGGTCCTTGTTCCAAGGCAGTTAGAAATTTCTTTCTTTTTTTACTCTCCACTTCTAGTCGCTCACCACTTAGTCATCAGCAACTAACTGCAACGGAAACCCAATTTAGCATGGTCTAAATAAAAGATTGTCCGGTTTTAGGATAGCTGAAGCCCTACAAATCAGTGTGCAGCTCTCAGTTGGTCCTCTGTTCAACTGGAGGTTAGGCAGGCAAATCCTCATGCTAAACTAACCAGGCTGCATATTTGGCAAAGCCTAATTCTCTAGCTTAAATGTCAGTAGTAGTACAGCATGGCTAAAGGTTGGGTGGGGGACAGAAGTCAAGAGAGACCGATGTTTGTATTGGCATTTATATCCTGAAACAAGCAAGCCAGGATGTACACATGGATGCGAATTCAGAACAAGAAGAGACAGCAGGTTTGGTTTTTCCCCGGAGAAGGCGAAGGAAAATGAAAGAGTGGGATGCAGGTGGCCGTAAGGGCTGGCCTGCCCAGCAAAGTGCATGTGCTGTCTCCGCTGGAGAATATTACACATGAACAGAGCACTCAGCTCCGTGGGAAGAGGCTGTTTAAGTGCAACGTTCAGCAGACCGATTCCCATTTATTTTTCTGATGAACTGCTAGTTCAAGGTTTGGTGGCTTTGGGGTTGGTTATTTTTGGTGCCTTTATAATTTTTTTTTTTCTTTTAAAAAATTTATTTTAACCTTCCCACTTTTCAAAGTGGGATTGATGGATAAGAGAGACAAGCTTGCAGGTCAGGATGCCCACAAGGTGTGCGAGGATTCAAAAGTCAAGAAAAGAAGCCCTCTCCCCAAAGGAAAACATGAAACAAGAACACCACCTTCGAGAGAAGGTCAACGGCTTTCAAGGAAATACCACCCGCCTTCCCCCTTCGCTCAGCTCTTCCCCTTGCAAGAGCTGGGGTGGAGGTTGCTATCCAGGAGTATGACCCAGACAGCGTCAAGGGCATAACCTAGCATGAGTGAGCAAGAAGGTTCCCTCCGCCCTTCGTCCAGGGGTGCAGTACCAAGCAGAAGGAAGACAAATGAAGGGCTGAGCAGTTTGTGGCTGAGGCGGGGTGGAGTGGGGTCCACGGGGCTCACTCCCCTTCCTCCTTGATGCGTTGCTGTTTGTTGCGCCGGGCATCCATGTCGAAGTTGAAGTCGTTCCACTCGTCACGGGGCGGGAAGGAAATGGTCTGCCGGAGCGTGAAGCGGACCGCGTCGATGACCCGCTCTCCCCGGGTTTCGCTGGAGCCCACGCTGACGGTGGAGGCGCCGCTGGGGGTGCGCAGGAGGTGGGGAGGGGAGGAGAAGTCATGGAGCTGCCGGTGGTCCAGGATGCCCTTCCAGATGGCATGGCGGAACTGCTCCGGGATCTTGAGGCTCACCAGATCCTGCAAGGCAAGGTGGAGGGCTTAACAGGGCAATCCCTGGGCAAGCTGGGCTCCAGGAGTAGAAGCAGCCTCTGGGCCACCCTGCAAATGCCTATTAACCAACAAAGCTGCTAAAATCCAGGTGGCCATGATGCACTGTAGAAGACAAATCTGAAGGTGGTGGTTCACTTCTGAACAAGCATGTATAGCCATGAGGCAGTAGGCACTAGCGACACAAGGTCTGCTTTGAAGTTACACAAAACACACGTTCATGCATAAGATATGGTCAACTAAAGCTAGATGTTGAACTGGACTGCAAGGCCTCCAAGACAAGCTCTGGGAGATCTGCTGGTCGTGTATGGTGGGGGGATGCTGGGCTGCAGTTCAACAGATTTGAAAACTTCCATGTTTATTTCAAAGCCTGCAAAAGGACTTTAGTACCCAAGTCTGAGCTCCAGTATTCAAAGCTCTGGGTCTTACTCCATAGGAACTGCCTTAATTACTTGAACATAACCAAAATTTAAGAACAGACACATAGCCTTAGAAAATTTGGACTTTAAGGCCCCATCATCTCCGGTGCAGTACCTGAGGGCAGCATTACCTACACTCTGGGAAATGTGATATCAGTTTCTGAAAAAATTAGCAACCGATTTTGGTTAATTTGGGTCAGCTTTCTAATTAGAGCAGCAGCAGAAGGAAGGCAGCCCACGCTAGGAAGCAAAAGCACCACAGCCTTGCAAAGTCTCGGGCCAAAAAACCGGGACAGCCAGCTCTGAGGAGAGCAATGGCAGAGGAGAGGAAACAGCAACACTGCAGCAAAAGCCATGCAAGAGGAAAAAAAAACAAACCAAGCAACCAACCCAGCTGGGCTGAGATGCCAGTGGCAAGGGAAGATTGTTAAGGTAAGGCCAGAGAACAGAAGCAGGGAGTGAAAAACGCAGACCACTTCTGGGCAGCCTACTCGTCTGCAGGCGAGTGAGGTGTTTCAGAGCGGTGTAAACTGAACCCAAGCCCCGCAGAATTTACAGGCGTGTGGGCTGGGGCCGCTTCGGGGGCTAAAATGGACCATGGTTGGGAGGGGGAGATGCTCTTTTTCTGTGCCAGGCAAGGCAGTTACACTGCTGGCCCTGAGTCCAGCCTCTCTTCGCCTCACAATGAGTCCTCCCTGTGTACAACAGCCTTAAATCAAACTAATCATATAAAAAATAAAAATATACTGATTCTGGATTTCTGACCTGTTCCTACAGCAGGGGCCAAGAGTGCAAACAAAGGAAATGGTGAGGAGTTACTTACATCCATGGAGTAATGCTCAATCTGATAGATGGTGGTCAGCCCCTGGGTCGTGAAATAATCCACACAGGATGAGCAGCCCAACCTCGCTAAGAAGCTGCAGAGGAGGAAGGAAGGAAGGAGAGAGAAAAAAGGATCACCCTGGCTGCAACAGCCTAAACCACAGAAAAACCAAACACTCAGCCAACCTGCAGCAACAGGAAACAAAGCTTTCACCCTTGGCTTGACCTTCTCCAAGACATCCCAGGCCAGCAAGCCACATCGCTGCCACATCAAACACGAGGGAGTCCTTCAGCTCAGTGCCTAGCAGACAACCCTTCTGGCAGCACCTTGCCTTCCTCAAGTGCCGGTGCTACACAGCCTGGATCTTGGGGCAGGAAGGCTCACGTGGACCCTCCTGCCAGGTCACTTCACCCAGAAGGTGGCTGAGCCCATGGCAGCCCGCTGCACGGATAGGGGGCTTCAGCAAGGCGGTGGGTCAGGGGCTCAGACACGTCATGCACACAAAGTACTTCAAATCAGCACATTCCTCCCTAAGCATAACGGACTCCTCATTTATGGACAGCATCTTTCCACCTGTTCAACCCCATGGAGAACAGAGGGGCTTCTGACCCCAGCCATGGCTTGTCAAGTGGCCAAAGTGGGGAAAAAAGGAAAAAAAAAAAGAAAAAAAGAAAAAAAAGAAATGTTTGCAAGACTGCCTGGCGCCCTCAGCTCCACCAGTCCAACAGATGCCGCATCCCTAGGCTTTCTTGCAGTCCTAACGTCCCTGTTTCTCTCAGCTGCTCAGAGGTGGGGGTTTGAGGCTCGGTGCCCAGAGGGTGCCAGCCCCGGGACTGCCAAGACCCACTGGGATCCAGTGCTCCAGGAGAACGGGGTGAGGGACCAGGCAGGACCCTTCAGGCTCCCGACACGAGGCCTCTGCTCCCTGCGGATGGGACACATGCGCCGGGCAGCCTGCTCCCGCTCACCTGACGATGCTGCAGTCTGTGGGGTACGGAGGAGGGGGGGTGCAGTGGGATGTTGAAGGCATGGAGAGGGGAGGAGGCAGCGCCTGCGTGGGGCTGAGGCCATTCATGTCACCGGTCATGGCCATGTGGGTGCCCATCATGGGAACTGGAGGAGAGAAGAAGGAGCACATTGTTACCCAGGCGTCCCCGGAACCCCGCTTCACCCCCAGCACGGCACCAAAGGACAGTACCTGCAGCTGAAGCAGCCTTAAATCCCCTGCAAAGCCCCACACGGAGCACGCTCACAGGGAATTTCAGGCAGGACTGCAATGGCCACACAAGGACCAGATGATAGACAGTCCTCCAGGAGCTCTCCCCTTACTGGAGCAACTGTCAGCAGCAGTGCCACCGCCACCGTGTCACCTTCCCTTACAAACAGGCTCGGGAGAAACCTAAGCGAGCCGCGGGCGTCTCTGCTTTCCCTGCTGCAGGAGAGGAGCGGGACAGAGCCAGCAGAGTAACCCAATACAGAAGCCAAACAGCTTTGTTTTCAGAGACACCAAGAGCACCCGAAGGGGATCAGCAACAGGTGTGGGCAAGAGCCCAGCGCTTTTGAAATTTAAAAAAAAAAAAGGCAAGCACAAACCACACAACAGAACTCAGCCCCCAGAACCATGTCTGTCATCCTGGACATACAGGGCTGCCGGGCACTCCTCAGCAGCCAGGAGGAAGCAGGTTACAGAGCTGCGAGATGCAGATATTTCCTTTGAAACTAAGAAGTGTCTTAATTGAACCAAGGGAAAAAAAGTTTGCCAGTGTTTGCATCTTCTCTGCTAGAAAAGGAAGAAGAAACAAGTCTTGAAAGACAGATGACAGTGCAGCCAGCCAGATCCACAGCAAGAAGTGGCTCTGTTCACACCTGTGAGGCTCAGAGCAGGATGCTGAAACCTGGAGAAAGCAGGCGACTCGCCCCGTGGCACAGCAACGAGCAATATTGGGCTCTGCAGGTTCCCAGCCCTGCTACCACGAGTGACTCCAGGATCCCCAGACTAACGCTAGCTGCTTAGAGATGCCAAGTCTCCCTCCCTAGATTAGTGGGGTGTGCACACCGAGCAGGGGAAGGAGGAGTGAGGGTTTCTTACTGTTGGTTCCCATGCCGTCGGGGATGGTGGTTGGGGTCAGGGCATTGCGCTGCTGGGGGTTAATTAGCTGGCTGACCGAAGGCAGCTTGTTCATGCTGTTCATTTTGCTGAGCGGTGGAGAGCTGGAGCCGTAGGATGACTGCGACTGCATGGAGGTCCTGCAAACCAAGGAGATGTTAGGACAGGAATCAGAGCAGCCGGTTGTTAAGAGCAGGCATCCAAGGGGCTCTGCTTTCTCTTTGTGGTAGTGGTGAGCTACTGATAGTGAAATCACTGACACCATGGGAGCATCACAGATAAAAAAAAATCACTGGAGAAAGAGTCAACAGGAGGTTTCCCATATATTCTGGGCATTTAAAAAACAAATGGTGAAATACCGACAAAGGGAAGCTTCACTTTCAGTTCAAACTTTCTATTTAAGGAAAAGTTTCTATGTAAGTTTTTCCGTTGAAAAGAACCTACCAAAGCCATCAAATAGCTGCCAAAACCCCAAAAGAGTATTTTTGAGTTAAGCTTTCTTTATGATCAAGGACATTTTTTCATAAGAGCAAGAAGGAAGCCATCTCAAACCATCCTAACTACCCCTAAAACCTGACTGCAGAAACAATTTTCAGATCAGGTCATAATTATCACATTGGTTTCTCCAAAATTCCTTGGTATTCGTATAATCAGGTTTTTATCAGGTGCACATATGACAGCCAGAGGCTCTTTGCCCCAAGAGAGACTCCACACACCTTTGGGACCACGATTGAGATGGTCAGAGCTGCCTGGGACACTGACATGCAGCTTTTGCTGGTGTTAAGGAAAACCTGGTATCCAAACCCCACAGGCTGCTTGCAAAGAGTATCAGATTCCTACCACCACTCGACGACAGCACCAACCTCCCTCAAGTCCAGACAGCCCCAAACTCCATCCAGCATATCCATGAACGAGCCCAGAGAAGCTGGCTGGCAAGCTCCCCTTCCCCAGCCCCGAGGGTCCCAGCTGCAATCCCGCCTCGTAAACGATCCGGAACACAAAGACCAGACCGCTTCTGAACGGCAGCCCAGTTCCCAGATCGAGTTACGGCTGTGGCATCCCATCTGGAGTGGGGTCTTATTTGGGATATGCAGAAAATGATCATTAAAGAGGGCCCAGCAGTGCAATTGGCAGAGCATTGCCATGCCACAGGAGAGCGGGTTTTTCTTTCTCCGACACCAGGGGCATTTGCACGACCGGCCAAAAAGTGCTAGGGAAGCGGGCACGCTTCCCAGACACGATGTACCCTCGCAGGTCATGCTCGCCCAGGAGAGCGGAGGTCACCCAGCTTGCCATAGAGCCTAGTGCTTGTTCATCCTTATCACGGTGACCCCAGGGTGAATGTGCAAGGTCACATTCCCATCTTATTTCCCACTGGGAAACTTGTTCGTCTGGGTATAACTGGTTACACCAATTCCTGGGAACTGGCTTTCCTTCTATGCAAACAGAATAGTTATTACTTCAAATGAGCAAAGTGTAAAGGAAAGAAAAGGCTTATTCCTAGATAATTTATTAAAACCTTCAGCACTCAAGGTCAAGTTTCATACAATTACATCGTCTCCAGCTTCCTGCACTTTTAAGAGGTGCAGTGTTGGGTGGAGAAAACATCTATGCTAACAGGCTGGAGTATCTAAGGCCCCGAAGAAATCTTACCTAATTACACAATTACAGGAGGTACAGAAGGGTGTGAACTGTCCTTTGGCAGTGAAGATGCAGGACAAGATCCAGCAAACTTCATAGACTCAAGGAAGTGGAAAGCACAAGAAGCTTCACAAATTAATATTAATGATGGCAGCAGCTCCCAAGGGGAAGTGAAACTGAGCCACGAAATTCAGACCCAACTTTTCAAGGTAAAGGGAATGATTCAGATCTGAGGTTTCAATTCACCAAGTATAAAAGTTGAGACCAGCCATGAAATTCAAGTCAGGTTGACACCACCCTTAAACTAAGAGGCTTTTGGATTTAGGACCAACATGCACATTTCTGACTTTACAGATTCAGGCACCTATCCTAACTCAGGTTCAGCTGATATTAATACACACCTGAGTAGTCTCTTAGGGCAAAATCTGCATGATAAGCAAGTGAAGAGGTCACCATGTACACAGTGACATTCCAAATCAACGAAGACTTCCCAAGAGAGATTTAATTTCATTGTTTAAGCTCAGGACAAGTTTTATTTGTTTGGTTTTTTTTTTTTTTTTTTGAAAGGATGTCTGTTGCTACAAAACAAGATTCTCCAAGGAGGTCAGTAGTGGGTCTAACTTTTCTCTCTATACCACCAACAGTGATTTCAGTGAAGATAGGCAACTACAAAACACTTTGGGGAGAAATAAAAATAAATTGCAAGCAGCAAACAAACACAACATAACCTAAAGGAAACTACACTATACAAAACAAATGCATACTTATAGCTTAAGGACTCCGTTCTTATCTCATTCATACTCATAAGAATCAAGATTAACTCTATTAAGACTATCAAGCTCAAGTGAATAAAACAGGAAAGAAACAAAAGCATTTTTCTTCACACCCGTTCTTGTTTCAACTAAATTATGCCGTCACATAAGCAGACATGTAAAAGGTCTAGAGAAAGCCATCCAGCCAAAGAAAAGTCCCAAGATAAACCAAGATGCAAAATTTTATTGAAAATTAATGTCACACATCAATATAGCAACAGCCTCAGAAACACAAGAAAAATATTTTTTATATTAAACACACGGACTACATGGTGTTTGAGGATTCATTTAAAATATATTGCTTTTTTCTCATTTTTTTTAAAAATAGGTATTATAAGAATGTCATGCACAGTGATTTCCATTAAAATTATACTTACTATGTCTCAAGAAAGATTAGAATTAGAGCATTAACATTTCTTTGATATCAATGCCAATGAAATGCATTTTAATATCAAGGTATAAGGACTTCAATTAAGAGACTATTATGCTTGTTGGAACAGTCTGATATGAAAGGCACTGAGTCACATTCTGCAACTGATTTTTCTCTCTTCAAGAGGCTGTGTAATTATTTAGCCAATAACATATGTAGTTATGCAAGCTCATGAGGGCAATCGCCTCTCATGCTTCAAGGCATATACTGATCATCTCAAGAGGTCAGGAAGGAACTTCCTTCTCCCACTTATGAAGCACAGTTCAGCTCACAGGTTACCTTGTATAGTTTTGTGCTTTCCCGGCTCACTGGGTATCAGCCCTTCACCAGAGGTAGGAAACTGCTTGGATAGACCAATTACCTGATTCAGTAGACAAGTCTTAGAGTCCTTATTCACATTAGATGAGCACACCGTCATGTAAGCAGCCTTAATGCAAATGACATCAAAGGTTCAGTAAGTGCAAGAATAGGGCAGCTCGGGCTCAGAGAGTTTAAGATTTCACCTAAGCCGCTGTGCCTACAGTTTGCTATCCCTGAAGACCTAGAGCTAGTCACAACGCAAAGAGACCCAAGTGGAATCAAAGCTGTCCAGTTCTGGGCCTGCCTTTCCTTACAGTAGCCACAGCAAGCCCAGCAAGGATTACATCCCCAGTTCACAGGTGGTCAACATGCCCATTGGCAATGTTTTTTCAAGTAAGGTTACTCACTGGGCTGCATAACCCTGGGATGTCACTGATGTAGTCTCGTAATGGCACACAAGTGACACAGATGATGCTCAGTTTACTTTGAAGGCCTGTGAAGCGGGACACTAAAAAAAGCAGAGAGATACCCTTGTTCTCCACATCTCAAAGAGCTGCTATTCCAAAGCAAGCAGTAGTGCATCTTTTCAACTACCCAAGTAGCTTGTAGGCTTGGTAACCAACTGGGGGTGTGCAAAGGAAGAACTCTGACGGTCACTAGGGAGACAGCAACTATAGCACAGGGGCAAGGGTAGAGTTAACAACTGCCCTTAGATTTCAGGTATGGGAATTTCCCAAGGCAGGCAGTGGATGCAATCTGCTCTCCAGGGAACGAAGCTATAGTACAGGGAGTGGATTTACATCAAGTAGTTGACATAAACTGAATAGGACCTGACTGACTGATAAGGCCTAATTAGTCCACTCGGTTATTCCATGAAAGGAAAAGGCTTACTTTTCTGAAGCCCCAGAGGTGACAAAGAAGCAAAAAGACAGCTGGGAAAAAATTTGCTTCTTTTTATCTGCAAAGGACAGACTACAGAGCAACTGCAGTTGCTTCCAGCTCCAGGTTATTTGATAAAAAAAAAATAAAATAAATAAAATGCACCTTCTAAGATAACCACCTTGTAGCTGGAGAGCAAATCAAGTCACCATTAAGATCAATTTTACAATCATTGTCCTCTTATAGGTAAAGAGGACAAATCAGAAAGTCTTTCCAGAGGACAGTGGGATCCAAATAATTTACATTCTTGTTTGGTGGAAGTCCCGCCCATCACAGGTGTATTGCTCATCATGGTACAAGAGATTTCCTAGACGTCAGACCATATGATGAACTGGGGCATAAGCTGGAATTTCCCAGTGTGGGCTGTGGATGCCTTGAATCTCCTGGTGGGCTGCCTCCTCAGACTTGCTGGCCCTGGAGCAGAGCTCTAGATACAGATTAGTGTGTCGTGTCCCTGTCTCAGTGTTTCTGTATTGCCATCTACAAGCAGACAAGACCAAGATCCAGGAATAAACATTGATTGGAAGGACAGACTGGCAGTGCGAAGCATAATCCTTCTGTGTCTGTGCTGCACTGGCAGTTCAGATTCCCACTTATCACAGTGAAAGTAATACTATTGCCTTTCTTCTCCCAGATAGAATGGCAGAGAGCAAAAGTTATCTGCTTTGTGATCTTGAAGTACTTCCTGGAGTCTCCAGGCAAAGTAAAGAAGCACTTGGTTTGGCTAGCTTTACACAAGGAACGATGGTAGAACTGCAACTGTATGAAATAGTCACTGCTAGTTTTTAATTAGTTATTATTTATATTTAATCACAATTTTGGGGGCTCTTCTCCATCAGCCCTCCCCCACACTCCTATGGTAGAACAAGTCTTGCTAAGACAACGAAGGAGATATCCAGAGATGGGATATAGCTCTCAAAGGAGATGTTAGTACGAGTCATCACCTGCTCAGATCACAGCTCTGCTGCCTGGAAGCGGATTATGTGATGCTCGGAGATAAGAGTCTTCTCCCACTGCA